CCCATAAAACTAAACTTCAAGTCATTTGTTCTAGAAACAAAAAAAAAATATGAAATTAACATTAACACCATCGAAAAAATCGAATTCATCAACAACTGCAGATGTTGATTCATCTTCAACATCAGATTATGATGTTCGTATACGTGAAGGTATATCTTATCAAGCTGATATTCCACCATTTGATCCAACACCATTATCAACTGATCATGAATCAATTCTATTTTGGCGACCAACAACTATAATTAATGATAATGAACTCATCGATTTTATTGATTTTGCACGTCGTAAACATCGTATGAATGAAGAACAAGCATTAGCAATTTTACAAATATGTAAATATAAAATTTCCACAAGTAAAATACTTATGCAACAGTATACACCTGAGATTGATGAATGGACAGTTGAAGAAAAATGTTTATTTGAACAAGCGTATAAATTTTATGGTAAAATGTTTTCACGTATAAGACAAATGTTACCTGATAAGAGTGTTGGTGATCTTGTTCGTTATTATTATTCATGGAAAAAAACACGTTTACATAAAAGTTTAATGGATAAACATGAAAAACAAAGTCAGCTAATGCCTAATGAAGATGCAAGTGATGATGAAGATAATGATATTCCTTCGATAGCATTACCAACAAAGTAATTTGAAAACTTCATATATGTTGTATTTGTAAATCTTTATGAATTTAGAGATTTAGATCATCGTGCAAAACCAACAATAGATCAATCAGGTGTTGATGAACAAGAATGTTGTAATTGTGAAGTAATGAATATTAATGATAGTATTGGACCAATGCATTCTACTCCCAAAGGTGTTCTTTGTGATGCATGTTTTAAATATTGGCAAAGTTCAAATTTAATGAGACCTGAATTATATCCAAGTAAATCATCATTTAGAAAAATAAAACGACCACCTAAAAATATGGCACTTGATTTGGATAGTGTCATTGCTATGAATTCTTATGATAATAGTTCAATATCGAATACAGATAATAATGATATTATTGATCCTATTGATAAACTTGAAGAAGATATACGTTCGGAATTAGCAGTTATTCAAGCACATAATCAAGCTATTGGTCTACTAATAAATCAATCTCGTAATGAAATGGAAACAATGTCAATACCATTTTTAACATCATCATCATCACCATTTATGATTACGAATTCAAATTCAACTACAGCAACACCAACATCAACATGGTCAACAGAAGAAATACTTCTTGCTATACAAGCATTTGGAAAATATGGTAAAGATTTTGATGCTGTTGCACGTATTGTTGGTTCAACAAAAACAGTTGCTGATGT